CCAACTCACATATCTTTAGTTCACCATACACCACAAATAGTCATGGATCTCCTTAAGGTAAACCGCTCATTATTCAGAGGTAAACTAGTCCCCCATTTGAATCTCCAGGTGGGGACTGCTTTAGGGGATTCATGGGGCAAGTTGAAAAATAGGGATTTAAATATTGGTACGTGGAATGCAAGGAGTTTAAACATAGCAGGGGGGTTGAAATCGGTCGCGAATGAGGTTAATGGGTACAATTTGGATGCCAAAGCTCTACAAGAGATTCACTGGCCAGGGGAGGGCTCGATAAGGGAAGGAAAATACACTATTTGGTATGGAGGAAGCGGGAATCATTGTTTAGGTACCGCGTTTCTAATTAGGAATAGATTTCTATCCGCTTTGAGAGACGTACGATTCTTTAATGATAGAATTTCGGTAGCGATATTTCAAGGACGTTGGTTTAAAATCGCATTCATAAACATACATTGTCCGACCGAAGACAGTGACGATGAAGTCAAATGCGAATTTTAAGATAAACTCGAATGGGTTTATGATAAACTACGTGAAACTCCATGAAAATAATTGTAGGTGACTCAAACGCAAAGGTGGGGAGGGAAGAAGTTTATGTTCCGATGATTGGTAAAGAAAGTTTGCACGAATATAGTAATGATAATGGGATCGGTCTGATAACCTTTGCCATCTCAAAAAAATAAATATACTTGGACATCACTGGATTCGCAAACACGAAATCAAATCGATCATGTCTTGATACAACATAGATGGCAAAGCAGTATAATTAATGTACGGTCGTATCGCGGAGCAGAATGTGGGTCGGATCGTGAATTAGTAATCGCAAAACTTCAACAAAAACTTAATATAAAAAAGAGAAAAGAAAACCCATTTCGATTTTGAGAATTTTAATTTGGAAAAATTAAAAATCCATCAATTAGAACTCAATTCGAGCTAGATGTTAAGAATAGGTTTGAAGCTTTCGAACCTTCTGACAAGGACTAAAGGACATAAGAATAACAAACCATGGTTTGATGAAGATTGCTTAAACATAAATTAAAAGCTTTAAAATAATCCTAGCGAAGACAATCTGGAATACTTCCGAACCTCAAAGAAGGAAACGACAAAATTGCTCAAAAATAAAAAAAGGGAGTATCTTAAAAATAAAATAATTGAAATAGAAACCAATAGAATTGAAAATAACGTAAGAGACATGTACAAAGGTATAAACAGATCACGTAAATGTTTAGGGCCCGTCAGGGATGAAAATAACAATATTCTGTCCAATCCAGTAGACATATTAAATAAGTTTAAGAGCCACTTTGATAGTATTTTAAATACCAGAAATTATGATCCTCCTTCTGAGTACCTGGACCGTTAATAGAAGAACCGAGGAAAGAGGAAGTTGAAGTAGCTATCGGAAAATTAAAATCTTATAAAGCAATGGGAACCGATAATATTCCTAGCGAAACTAATTAAGACATGCGGGAAAGCCAGAGTTTCTAAAATACATTTGTTGGTTGAAAAGATCTTGTAGAATGAGAAATTACCTGAAGAATGGAAAGAATCTATTCTTATTCCGATTCACAAAAAGGATTCAAGGACAGATTGTAATAAATACCGAGTAATCTCACTCCTTCTGCTGTTTTATAAAATATTCACTTTAATCTTAAAAGTCGAATAACAGAATACGCCTAGGAAATTATCGGTGACTACCAATGCGGATTTGGACAGAATCGTTCGACTATTGATCAACTACTTTCTTTATGGCAAATATTGGAAAAACAATTAGAGTACAACGGTGTTGTTCACCAGCTGTATATAGATTTTAAAAAGGCTTACGATTTTATTGACCACCAGAAACTTTATAATATTCTAATTGAGCAGGGGATTCCAAAAAAATTAGTAAATCTAGTCAGGATGTGCTTGACAGAAACACTCAATAAAGTTAGAATTGAGAATAATTTATTGGAAAAGTTTGAGGCCCGTCCAGGTTTAAAACAGGGTGATTCTCTTTCGCCTATCCTGTCCTGTTCAATTTGGCATTAGAACATGCCATTTGGAAGGTGATGCTTACCGAAAAAGGGTTGGATCTGGGTGGAACAACACCCATGCTTGGATATGCGGATGATCTGGTCCTGTTAAGCGAAGACACAGAAACTATAAAACTAAATACGACGTTAATGAAAGCTGGTAAAGAACTAGGGCTTGAAATAAGACAAAATATATGGTTAGATGCAAAAATGGCAATATTTCTAGTGATATTGACATAGAAGGAAACATATTTGAACAGGTAGAGAAGTTTAAGTATCTAGGGTCAACGATAACTAGAAAAAACAAAATTGAAGAGGAGATTAAGGTTAGGCTGAAGGCGGGAAATGCTAATCATTTTTCTGTGACAAAACTACTTAGCTTTTGCATCTTGTCCCGGAATTTAAATCACATATATTTAGATGAAATAAAACATCAAAGTACTTCTCTCATCAACAGTGAAAAAACATACACCTGACTAGGGAGCAATAGACTGCTAACCTACTCCTCTTAAAACTTCTTATCACAAAAACTCACAAAATTAGTAAAGCCAGATTTTCTCAAAGGAATAAGACCAGGAACCGCCAAACTGACCTATGTATAGCCTACTGGAACATTCAGAACTTACCGAAGAGGCAATGCAAACACAGATCATTACCTTAGCATTGCCAGGATACGTGCAAGGATCTCAGCTATGAGGAACAAGGTTGGGCTGGCGCAGAAAAAATTAAACTTCTCCAAGCTAAAGGATTTGGATGTGTGAGGAGCCTATCAGGAGAAGTTCAGAACACAGCTTGTGAAACAATTGAGGAGAGAAATGACAATTTTGATGAACAGTGGACGGGAATATCCCTAGTTCTGAAGACAGAAGCTGGAGAAATGCTAGGCAACCAAACACGCAACACAAGGTCCTTCTGGTTTGATGATGATTGCTTAACTGCCACTGTCAAGAAAAATGGTGCATATAGAAAGATGGTGCAGCGGCAAACAAGGGGTACACGGGAATGTTACCGTGATAGAAGAAGAGAGGAGAAGAGAGTTCATCGGATGAAAAAGAGAATGTGGGAGAACAATAGGATGGAAGACAATAGGATCGAATCTCTCAGAACTTCACAAGAGAGTCGACTCTTTTTTTAATGGGTGAGTGAGGGATAAACTGTACTCAAATCAAAAGTGACATCATATCTGGACAAAGAAGGATGCCTTCTAACGGATAACTGGAACATCTTGGAGCAATGAGCTTCTCACATGAAGAAGATACTCCAAAAACAAGATGTGGAGGAAGGTGATGAAACAGGCCGAGAAGAGGACACTTCTCCGAGGAGGAACACGCAGGATGATGCGGAGCCACCTGATGAAGATGAGGTTGAGGCAACCATTGCGAAATTGACGAATAACAAGGCGTGAGGACAGGACGGCATACAAGCAGAGCTACTGCGGTATGGTGGAATTGACTTCTTATAGGTGATGGAGAAATTTCATTATAAATTAGTAAGGTCAAAATAAATTAATAAATAAATTAACCAGGCCTGGTTCATGTAGATGGTGGAGCTTGCTGGCATCAACTGGTAGCCATTGCTGGAAGAGATCAACAGTAATGAGATGGGCTCGATGGCGAGAAGAAAAAGGGAATTCAACCTCTCATGAACTTACGGTAGGCCCCCTCCACTAGACGAAGGACACAGTGGGGGCACTATTTACTATCTCTTAATCCATTAAAATAAAAAAATTTGGATGTTCATAGCTGAAGTAAATAGACTCTCCCAATTCATTAAAAGGAATTTTTAAATGTAATGATATTAATATAAAACAAAATAAATATTTGTCTATGGTAATAACTAGTTTGAATTTATATAAAAAAAGTTAATGGTCTTAACAAGTATAAAATAGTAACCCATCATGTCTTTATGAATTTCAAATCAGCATATGACAGCGTTGCTCGACCAGAACTTTACCGGGCCCTAAAAGAAATAAACATTCCGATGAAATTAGTGAGACTGATTAAGATGACCATGATGAGCTCAAAGTGTAAGGTGCGTGTGGGCGTACATCTTTCTGACCCCTTTCTCACAAATTGTAGTATTAGGCTGGGAGACACTTTGGCCTGCCTCCTTTTTAATTTTGCAGGGGAGAAAGCAGTAAGGAATTCTGGGATCCAACTTCGATCAACACTATTTAACAGTACAGTCCAGCTTCTGGGATACGTGGATGATTTCAATATTGCTGCCAGATCGGAACAGGCCCTACGAGAATCATTCCTGTCTCTGGAAGATGCAAATGCATTTAGGGATCTTGGCCTAGTTGTTAATGAGACCAAGAAGAAATACATGTGTGTTAGAGGAGCGGAACCAGGAGCTGGATATTTTGATGTGGGAGGGTACCGTTTTCAAAAGGTAAGCAGCTTCATCTATTTGAGTTCGGAAATCAACTCCCCAAATGACATTAAACAGGAAGTAAACAGGAGAAATGCAGCAGCTAACCGTTGCTACTTTTGCCTTGCCAAACATTTTAGAAGTGGAATGCTCTCTTACAGGACCAAGATCAAGCTCTATAAGACCCTGGTCTGCCGAGTAATCCCTTATGGCTCAGAGGCTTGGGCATTCATGAATCAAACGAGTCCAGGCTACTTGTCTTCGAGAGGAGCATTCTTAAACGGATTTTCGGACCTGTTAGACAGGACGATGTCTAGAGAAGAAGGAGAAATGCCGAACTAATGAGACTATAAAACGATGTTGACATAGTCAAGTTTGTGAAGCTTGGACGACTTTATTTATGGATATTGCTACCTTTTTTGTTAGAATGTATTAATCATGTATAAAAAAAAAAATTGTATTTATTTTTATTTTTTTCCATCATTTGTCTATGTATGAAGTCAAATATAAAAATAGAAAGAACTGACATAGTAATGCAGTAAAACAATCATGGCAATCTCCTTACAAGCCTAACAAACGATAAAATTAAAGTAATAGGAAAAATACCTTCAATTTTAGCTTCTGCTGATAATCTGGTATAATTAACAATTGCTGCAGTTTCAAGGCTCTTTTTAATCATTCCCCTGACTTCTTCAGGAGGAACTGGGGTGACAACATCTTTCATAAGGACCTGGAAATTTAATAAGTATTTAAAATTACTTTACTGTATCAACATACAGTACTTTAATAATATAAGTAATATAATATTCAAATTTTTAAAATTACTATAAAACTAGTAGTCAGTTTTTTACGTCTTTCTATATCTAAATAATAACGTGGACAAAAAAAATCATTTATTTAAAAATAAAAATGCAAAATTTTATAAGTGACAAAAGAAAAAAGTAGTAGTAACCATTTACATACATTTCATTACACTCATTGGTTCATAAACCAATTTATAAAGATTGTAATATATTATATTATATTTATTGAGATATTACAATCACATTAAATGTTACATAATTATTCAAATAACTTTATCAAAATAATAGGTTAGCTATAAAGTAAGTGTGAGAGTACATACACACACACACATTTAAGATGAATGCACGAGTTACATCTCTATCAGCAGGGAGTTTCTAGACATATCCACTGTCCTTGACATAATTCTCCTTAGCAATGGTTCAACCTCGATATTCAAAAGAATTGATCTGAATTATGCTGGGGCAAACATATTACAATTGGTAACAGACTATTTGCTCTGAAGTTGGTAGTCCTGGTACCATAAAGAAATAGATTGAACTACAGCCAGCAATGTCAAAACATTGATCTTTCTACTATAATTCCTTCCTTAATTAAAATGATGAAGGGAAAAGTAAAATTGAAAATTTAAGAACTAATTAATTGCTACTAATACCTTTGATGCTTTGATGATAAAATACTTTAGAGAAACCAGAAGATGACAGTATACTAGTGCAATGATTGCTGCAATTCAATTCTGTTATCTTCGCACCAAAAAATTAATAAGTGAGGTCACCTAATTTCTAAAACAGGAGCATAAAGATGGCAAGGGCAACCTGTCTCTGACATTGTCTGCTTACAGAGATAGCTGGGACAAAAATTACTATTTGATTCACATGAAAAGTCTCATGACAAAATATTATGGCAGCTCTATATAGTCTACGAGCATTGAAAGTTATTGATAGGAAAATTATTGACAAAGTATTACTAAATCTCATATTTTATAATTTTCACTAGAAATGAAATTTAATTTATATCACCACACAAAGTATAGAAAATATACTTCATATATTACCTAGGCTTTGTACCACATGCTTAATGTTATCTACCTAGATGAAGAAAAAAGTGTGCAATGATTCATTTCATGTATTTAGAATCATAGAATAAGTACCATTAATTAAAAGATAGTATTAATAAATGTTTTGTAAAGTTTTTATATAAGAACAAGCATATTAGAAGGGGGGAGAGGTTATCTAAAACTATAAACACATTGATCTTAATTTAAATTTTGCCAAAGAAAAAAGCTTAATGTTTCAATTAATCTAAACTTGGCAATTACAGGCATTCTATGGAATATGTAGATATTTTATAAATATCAACAATGTCATAATTTACTATTAACACATTCAGGGCTCAATTAGTTCAGGAAACAAAGGTCTTTCCGACCTTTCACTAATATTAGGTTATTTTCCACTGGCAAATGCCTTGGAATGGGTTATTCAAAGCTAACTTATACTCAGTAACTTCTTACGTCTGAAAAAATCAATGTTATAGTTCAGGAATATTTTAAATTGAAATTCATTACATTCAAGACTATTTTTAAAGATAGGTCGTTTTTTTTTTTTTTTTTTTTTTTTTTTTTTTTTTTAATAGATCTCTTAATATTTTAACAAAAAAAATGACAAAATTTAGGTTTATTAGAGTTAAATATTCTGAATGTTTGAGGAAGGAGCAAACTAGATCAGATCTTCATCCTAAAACAGACCGAGCTGGGAGTTCGATGGAAGTTGATAATATTGGCATAGGCATGTATAAATGATCCTAAATGCTGAGTCTTGATCCAAGGAGAGGTACCTGAAGCTATCAAAGTTCTAACTGGTTTGGGGCAGAGAGACAAACTCTCGCCGATGCTGTTCAAGTCAGTACCGGAAAAAGTGATAAAAACATAATCTGAATGTGAAGGGGAACACTTTGGAATGAATGAACCTCATTGGAAGCAGTCAACAGGACATCAAGAGACCCACTAAGACTATGATAATAGAAGCAGAGAAAACCAGCCTTCAAGTAAATGAAGATAATATTCCAAATACTTGAAAAAAATCCAGCTCAACAATGGAATTTTCATAGAAGAGATATTGTCCCCAGGAGTAGACAAATTAAAATACCTTGGCTCTGAAATAACCTCAATGAGTGAAAAACAATTAGAAGTATATCAGCCTATAACAAGTGCAAACAGAGCATTCTTATTCAATATAGATTCAGCATTCTTATTCAATTCAGCACATTTCTTAGTCTCCGGCTTTTAATTTTTTCAATATTAAGTTTTAAAATGCCTCTTAGTGCTGAGGATGTTGCGCGTGGTGTGGCACTTATTGATGATGGACGTTCCATTAGAAATGCAGATAATGCCATCGGAGTTCCATATGAAACTTTACGAGACGCCGTCAGGCATTTTCGGGAAACTGGTTCTTACAATAGAAGGCCCGGTTCTGGATGACCTAGGGTAACAGAACCACGGGATGACCGGTTTTTGACTTTGAGAATTTTACGAAACCTACACCTTACTGTTGTTCAAGCGATTCATCAGCTCGAAGAAGTTCGAGGTGTGCAAATTTCTGAACGTACCGCTCGGAGAAGATTAAATGAGTATGGATTAATGGCTTTTCGTCCAGTAAGAGGACCAGAGATGACCAGAACTCACAGAGTAACGCGGCTGGCTTTTGCTCGAGAACACAGCCATTGGACTATGGACGAATGGAGGGCTGTACTTTTTACAGATGAGTCAAGATTCGCTCTTCGATCTCCAGATGGGCATGAAAGGGTGTGAAGAAGAAGAAACGAAAGATATGCAGCCTGTAATTTTTCCCAGAGCCAACCTTTCCAACGTGGTTCCTTAATGGTGTGGGTTGGGATTTCAATGGAGCGCCGCACAGAATTGGTTATTGTTCGTGGAGGGCCTTTGACGGCCATTCGCTATGTAGATGAGATTTTGGAACCTCATGTGTTGCCTATCCTCAACGAAATCGGCGATCGTTCTATTCTAATGCACGCCCACATGTCGCTTGAATAGTGCAGACGTTCCTTCAACAGAACAATATTGAGGTTTTAGCCTGGCCAGCATGTTCTCCAGATTTTAACCCCATTGAGCATTTATGGGATAACCTCGGAAGACGAATAAAAGCGCGTGCAACACTTCCTGATACACTGCAGGACCTTGAAAGGGTTCTTCGGGAGGAATGGGCTATCCTCCAGCAAAGGGACATTTCCTGACTGGTGGAAAGTATGCCGAGGTGTCTTCAAGAAGTAGTGAAGGCAAGAGGAGAAAACACGCGCTACTAAACGATGATGTAATTAATTTCTTTTACAATAATAATGGTTCGTTTTTCAATTTTTTTTTCTTTAATCTTTCTTACCCAATCACATTTTGATTATTAAAGGTAAAAAAGATTATAAAATTCCATAAATACTAAGTATTATCTACAAATACCATGTATTATATACAAATACAACTTTTTTTACAAGTGGGTGAAATATTTTTAGATGAAAACATGAAAAAATCAAGTGGGTGGATTTTTTTGCCTGTCAGTGTATGATAAAAATCATGATATTTACTTTCACTTACTTAAACATGTAATATACAGTAAGGGTAAGTATTACGATGGTGAAAATTTTTTAATCTGGGTTTTCAACAGACACACGTTTTGAGGTCCCCTGAGTCCAAATAACCAAATTCCACAAAATGGTGTGTGTGAGTGTGTGTGTGTGCATGCGTATTTACATGAACAGCATAGCTCAAAAACGAAAAGTCGTACGAAGCTGAAATTGTGGTTTTTATATGCCTGAGATGTTACAGCAACTTTTTCGTAAAAACCGGCTAACCGGAAATGGCACTTTATATTATTAATTTAAACACATTTTCACAATTTTCTCGAAAAGGGTTTTAACGATTTTGATTAAATTAATTATATCAGTGTAAACTTAAGCAGTTTTTAATATAATGTAGGTTTTATTCTCATTGATGTTCTCTAGAAGGGCTTAAATGGCTAATTTTTAATATTAACTTCCATTAAAGTACCTCTAATTTTTTTTTTTTTTTTATGAAACAATTAACCATTTCACATTGATATCTCCGAAATATAAAAAATATTTAAATATAAAATATGAAAGAATTTGATAATTAACTAAAGGAGAAATAAGAGATAGTAACGGAGAATAGTTGTAATGGAGGAACCAAAAGAATACGAGCCCGCCCGAAAGATTAGAAGAGGCTTCCATACGTAACACAAGCTTAATATAATACAGACTCCAAAAATATTATGTAGGAACATAAACATATGCGGATTTCATAAATGCTATCGTGTGTATTTAATATTTAATTTTATAGATTACAGCGATATAAATATTAAAATTTGTATATATAAGGGCATTTAAACAGATGAAAATACTCGCAATGAAATATAAATAAACATACCGTCTATAATTTTTACTTTCAGTTCCCCTTTTGCCTGAAAATACAAATTTCTGCTAAGAAGAGGGTGTTAGTGAAAGTTGTGTGATATGTACCGCACCAGATTTTTTTTGCTCCATGAGTACAATTTTCTGACTATTTGCACACTGAAGTGTTAGCATTTTTATAACATCCAACCTTATTTTAATAGCAATAGCTGATGAATTTTGTTTTAAATAATGTACAGTCCTAAGAGAGGATTATTAGGTTAAGACATTAAGGTGAAATTTCAATAATATAGAAGCAATCATTAAACTATCGTAAGTTAATTGGTACCAGTAAACAACCGAAATTCCTGAAAGTGGAAACAATAATTTTAAGAAAATCCATGCACAGTAAAATTAAATTAGATTAACATAATTCAGCAACAATGCACTGGTCTAATTTTAAACATCAATAGACAAACAAAAATGTTGTAACCAGCATAATTAATTAAAACTAGAAGCTGAAATAAGCCTATAGAAAAATTATATCATGATTTAACATAAAACAAATGTCAAATTTAGCATAATACTCACAAACACCTCAAAAGTAATAAAAATATACTTGTTAAACAAAAATATTTCATACATAAATTTTATAGCAATATTAACACTAACTCTTTCTAATAAAGAAAGCGTTGCCTTCAATGCACCCTCCGGTCTTCCAAACGGAAAACAATATCTGAAAAGATAAAATTATTATCAAATTTCATACAATATTAAAAAGATATATAAGTGATTGATATAAAATTAGATTCTAAGATAATACTTATATTTTCTATAACTGTCATAATGTGACCATTGACATAAAAAAAATTATTTTTTGAGAAGTATACATTTTCCAATTTATTGAAACAATAAAACTAGCTAAAAATGACAAACTTAGGCCAAATAAATTATACTTTTCAAAATTAAATAAAACAAAAAATGTCAGAAAATTAAATAATTTACAAGCCAAATTACACAAAGGACTTGAATATAGAAAGATTAATAATAATTATTGAAGGAAGTTAGTCGAATGTTCCACATATCATGGGTGATAAATACTCAAGACGCAGTCATAAGGTTTTTATTAGTGCCGACGTTCCATTGTGGGTCATCATCAGGACGTGGTTCGAGCACTGAAGATATTCAAATACTGTTGGGTCAATTAGCGTGCTGCTCGGCTTGGGATATTGATGCTCAATTAAAAGTAAGAAAAATTTGGTATTATTGTTGAAATGTATGAAAACTTTTGATTGTTATACCAACAATAGGTATTGCTTTTTCAGAACTGAAGAGGATCCCATTATTTATGTTAAAAACAAAGATTGAAAAGTTTTTTAATAAAAGGAATAAACAGAAGTTGTTTTAATTCATTTAAGTGTATTTCATGACCTATTATCCGACAATAATTCATATCTTAAGTTATAATATATAAAGGTCGAATCATAAAAAAAATAATAATAATAAAAATAAATATATATATATATATATATATATATATATATATATATATATATATATATGTTTAAAAATGTATGACTATGTTTAAAAATATAAACTAATTAAAAATAAGTTAACATTTTTGGGGAAATGATAAATATTACATTATTTAATGTTTTTGCTATTATAAGGGCATTATTTATATCCCAATAGTTTTTAAGAGTTAAATTTATCAGTAGATTGAAATATATATATTTTTTTTTTCACAGCAATCTAAAATCTCTTTGCATGGCTCACTGGAATAGACCATGTTCTGGATGACTGTGATAGCTCAATAGATAATAATACACCTAGATCCTCGGCCAACTGTGGGCAGAGATTGCTACAACAGGTAACCTTCTGTGTACACACCATAAATATTATACAATGTGTTTATCTATCAACTTTTCAATTTTATTAAAATAAGGTGTGACCAAAATTATCATTTAGATATTGTGAGTTGGAAAGTTACTAATTCCAATCTTCTGATATGAATATAATGAATATAATTTTTATAAGATTCAAAGATAATGTTTCTTATATATGTCTGAATTGATGATATTTATAAGCTCTGAATAGTTATGAAAATGATCTGTAGGAGCATGAATAACTTTCTATCAATCTGTTAAAAGTGGAAAAATGGAATGGAGTAACTGTCAGTGGGGCCCTTGAAATCATTTTCACTCCAAGAACTGCAGCTAATCCACTCCATCATTCCATTGTTTCATTTGGAATGAATGATCATCAGTGGCTGTCTTCAGAAATAATTCGGGTTAACTTCTGGAAACTCACCGAAAATTAGTTATTTGATTCTCTAATAATATTCTTAATCTTTCCTTTATTTCTTGAAATTTCTCTTTTTCTTCATGGGTAACTGTTCCAACTCCATCTGGTCTACAATATTAATAATTTGTTAATAATACAATATTTAAAAACAGTATAATTACTAGCATTATTTAAATTTTATATGATTGATATTAATAAAGCGCACCTATTTCCATGAACATGACTGGCACAAAAAGCAAAACTATAGTGGATCAAAGTTGGATCAATCATGATGTTTTTTTCAGCACGATCTAATAGGTCGTTCATATAACATAGATGTCTGTAACAGCCACGAACACCATAACGAGCACAGTATTCATCAAGAACAAATACTTGACCTGGGCTAAACCAACCCTATAATGTTCAAACACAAAAAAATAATATTTAATTAATTCAAGTTCATCAAGCATCTCTCATTCATTGATCATATAAAATTATAACATTAAAGTTATTATTGCTGGAGTGCTACCAATGGGTAGTTTCTCTTCATGTTTTGCATGTCATGTTACTTTGTTTCTTATTTACTTATTGTATTTATCATTTATACAGTTGTAAATTTCAATAATAATAAAAAAAGTTATTATAGTAATAAGTAAAAATATAGAAGAGACTCATCAAGACAGTGCATTTATGTTTCATTACCAGCAAAGAGATAAGAACCCCAATTTTATGCAAATTGGCTGTCAGGTAGTCATGAAATTTATTCTTATGGAAAGGGAACACTGATGGTTCTAGAAAGGTTGTAAGGAACTAGACCAATTGTAACAAGAAGTTTCCAGCTTTTGGGCATTGAAGACACTATAAAGGCTTGTCTAGGTAGATTGTCCCTTCTGGCAGAGATAAACAACCTTAATTGACTCTAAAACAGTTCCATTAAAGTAACAACCATTTCCAGTAAAGACCATAAATGTTGCTTGTTCTAAATATGAATAAACACCAAACTGAAGTTAATAAGCATCAATAGGAAATCAATTGCTGGATACATTCTATGTTCAATATACACTTAAAAAGGTAACAGTAGAATTTTTTTACCAATAATTTTACTACAATATCTGTATAATTAAAAATAAAATAAAAAATTACCAAGGAACAATAAGGGTCATTAAGCCTATAATCTAAGGCTAAAGTTTGAAGCATTTTAAATAATGAGGCATGGTCAAATTTACAAGGATCAGCAGATATGAATTCTTCCATTCCATGTTTTCGAGCTCTATCAGCATCTGAAACAAGAAATAAAAAAAAATAAAAAATCAGATTAGAAAAGAAGAAAGTAGAAGAAAAGAAGAGAAGAGTAGAAAGTATGGTACAATAAATAACTCTCCATTTATAAGTTATTCAAGACATTATCTTTGACTTAGTTCCATCAAATAACTTTGAAGAGGACCATAAATACTTATTTAATGAATTTGATTTAGAAACAATTACAATATGCAAATATATATATATATATATATATATATATATATATTATATATATATATAATAAATATTTATAAGATATGAAGGCTTTCCCTATTTTTTTTTTTATGATTCTTAGAAAATTTTGATTTAAAGGAATTCTTCCATACAATTTTCAATTGGGAAATTTAAAACCATATAGAAGCAAGAAGCCAATGAATACGAAGAATAAGAATTTTTCGTGTTATTCATACCTTAGTTTGGGTCAAATATATACATATAATGTGAAAAAATAAATAGGGATATTGTTAGTTATGTATGATTCATTTTCCCTAGAATTTGTATTATGATATAGATTGAAAATTAGAACAAATAAGATTGAATTTGCTCTTAGAAAATTTTTATAAAAGGTGTTTTATAATAAAATTAAAAGTTTTTGTGATTTTGTTTTTATGATTGCGAATTGTATGAATTATGTAAAATTTAATAATTTGAGGAATGTCTTCTGTTAACCCACTACTTATCTGTAACAATTGGACAAAGTATTTATAATGTTGTCACTCAATTCACAAGGAATTTCATACCATAAACATGGTAATATGGCTTTCAGTTGATGAAGATTAAGAAGCTGCTGATGGTGGTCAAAAATCCTTCTCTGCAATGCATTCCATGTGTGTTCAAAGGGATTGAGATCTGGAGACAATACAGAAAGGAACTGATGTTAAATGTCCAGATTTTCAAGATATTGATGAACAACTTTTCCCCTATGGGATCGCGTATTGCCATCAAGCAAATGGAAATCTCTACCAAATATGGTCCTGGTTTGAGGAATGTACTCCTCTATAATCTCTTGAACATAACAAACTGCAATGACATTACCTTCCGCAATATGAAGTAGAGTCCGTCTTCCTGAGTAGATGCTGGCCCATATCATCACACTCCCACCTGTACACTACATTGAAGAAAGCACAGTCCTAGGAAGACTCTTTGACGCCTACGACCGCTATAAATACAAAAACACGATTTGTCTATAAACATAACAGTATTCCAATTGGTATCATCACCTAGACATTTGCTACACCATAATCTGTCAAGTTACCAGTGACAAACTGTTGCTGCAGGACATCTTAAAGGGGCATAAGATGTTAGACCAACTTCTCACAAACAATTAGGAATGGTTTAAGTTAATATGGGCCTTGGTAGAACATTAGAAAGTTCATTTAGGTTCTGTTGAGCACAATGAAAGTTGTTGATTCTTGCAGCAATAACAATATATCTGTCATCCTTTGGTGTCTTAATACACTGAGATCCATTAACAAGTCTCCTATTGATACTTCTGGATTCACTGAATCTGGCTGAAGCCTGGAAGACCACAATCTGGGAGACACCAACTGCATTGGTGATTTTCACTTGCCAGTGCCCTTGACCGCTCATCCTAACGATAATATTGCGAACTTATGGTTTAATAAGATGTCTTTTTATCGTTAAACAGAATATTTCTGAATTAAACTTGAGAAAAGTCTAAAACAACTATTGGTTTATAATGAGTATTCTTCATGTTGACTATCCTTTAGTTAATAATTTAATAAGAATACTTAGTAGTTACTTTTTATGTTTATCAACTAACAGAACAATTCCTAACAAACACAAAATAACAAACAATAATAATAATAATAATATGAAATAAAACATGAGGAAAATTATTAAAACATCTAAAGCCAAATGCGAAAAATCAATCGGAGAAAAGTTTAAAACAACATCAAAATATATTCAAAATTTTAGTCAAGAATAGGAAACTATTTGTTGATGGAGAGATTATTAAGGAATGTTTAACAGTAGAAAAAATTGTGAAAATTGTTTTAATTTGAACAAATACGTACGGATTTAAAAACATTTAAAGTTTTCCAGACATCCAAATAACATACCAAAGAAATGTTATATTTGTACATAATGGGATAGCACACATGAAGAAAACTTTAAAATTAAGAAGTCAAATGAAATTGAGTTAATGCAGAACTTAAAAAAAAAAAAAAGTAATAAAATCACAGAGTAAAAGAACTAGAAGAAACAAAATTGTCTGAAGTTAATTGTTTTAAATATTTTTTATGTTTTGATTTTAAAATGATCTGTGTATTTGTATCTAGGATCTACAATCCTAAAAGTAATGTTTGATTTTTTCTATGGAATCATAGCTTTGCAAACGTTACCGTTTCCTGTTACTTTAAGTCTTCGATTACTTTAGCATCCACGATGTTTGTCTTCCCAAAGATTCTCAATTATTGAACCTAAGCTTTCAAGCAGTAAAGCTACACTAAAAAGGGGAGCCAGTGGATCACCGATTTTAATAAATTTTTTTTTAGCAATACTATATCGAAAAATATTAGACATATCTCCTGGCGTTCGTTTGAAGCAAAAAAAAGTAGTTTATATAATTTCAAACAAAATTTATGTTATTCATTTTGCCTTTGCTTTGTCCAGATTTTTAGGTTTTATATACCAATCGATTTCTTTTTTTTTGTGCAGAATAAGATAAAAATATTGACTATGAGTTACAATGTATCAAAACTTAAAAAACCAAAAGACGCTTCCAGTAAAGTGCACCATGTAAATATTTTTAATGAAAAAAAAAGTTAAATTTGTTTTTAGTTTTCTTTAAAACTCATAAATTCGAATTTATATAGAGATTAAAAATTCAAAAATTTAATAATGATTTTCTTAGAGGATTTTTTTCCGGTCAATATCTAAAGCATGCATAACTTTTCAGGATTTTCTCCAAAATTTAATGGTAGTACTTCATTCCTTTTTTAACTGCAAATTAAGAAAACCTTCTCAAATCGTTTTTATTTTATATCTTTGGTTATAATTTGTTTATGGCGGTCAGTTTTATGAAATTTCATGTAATATATAGAGCCCTAAATCCCTAATAATTGTGTGGATCGGTGAAACCATTCTAAAGTTATCACAATTTTTGTAGTTTTCGATAAAATTTTGAATGTATGAAAAACGAATATCAACTTTTTTTTCCCTGACAAAAATATTTACTCCTACATTGGTCCAAATGATGCCCATATTGTAGCAATGTTCCAAATATAATATTTATTCAAAACTGGTCAGGTATCTAGAGTAAATATTTTTTAGGGGGAAAGAAATTTAAAAAGTTAATATCTGTTTTTTGCATCTCAAAACCCCTTAAATACGAATTTATATAGCAATTGAAAAATTAAAATTTTCAGCACAAATTTTTTTTTAAGTTTTGTTGACAACCATCAAAATTGTGATAACTTTAGAATGGTTCCACCAATCACAAAAATTTTTAAGTTGAGAAGAAGTTGGTTGGGGGTGCGATCAAAATATATATATACACAGGGTGGATTATTTTTTTGAGAAAACAGTGATTAAATTTACTAAGAACAATGGTAAAAGGGACTTTCAGGAGGTCTAATATAGCCGCTGTACTGCTGCAGTCACAGTTCTCATAAAGAGCAGCAAATCTCAGTATAGCGGTCATATTAGACCTGAGATCTATATGGTTTATAGTGCCTACTGAAAATATATACATATCATAGGTCGTCAGTAACAAGCTAAAGGAGTAAAACACTGATGATTTAATGAAAAACACTCCTGATTTTTCATTCCTTCATTTGACAACTCTAATCATAACCATTAACTTGTAAAAATCAATAATTATACAAATTATTTAAATATTTTATTTAAGAAAGTTTGAATAAAATAAGAATAGAACAACTTAATAGTTAAAATTTATAAGTAAAATAACAGGATACCTCCTTGAATTTTATAAATGGTAGAGTTCTTAGCAGCTGATGTGACTAGAGGTGTTGGCTTATGCGACTGTCCTGTAGCTCTATACATCGCCATTACCCAAAGATGACACTCATTTTCATCATCACACGCCAATATAATATTATCACCTTCTTTAACAGCATTAAAGAAGTATCTACCCCCTTCCAAATCTGCGAAAGTGGAAATGAAAGTTTAATAAACGCAATCTATATCAATATCTTAGTATATAATACATAATGATATTGATTTTTTTTTCTTTCAAAAAATAAGTTTTCCACAATAAGATGACAAGAAAGTAGTTTTTTAAGAAATTGAAAAAAAAAACTTTTATTTGCATAATCAACTGTCAGTTGAAGTATTATTTTAGAGTACAACTTGATAAAACTTTATAAGGATGAAAAATGGTCAGGATATACAGTCAAAAATTATAAACATGTATTTTTTACTGCACATCCTGACCATTTTTCCTCCCTACAATTTCAACAGTCAACTATACATCTATCACTAGATAAAGTTTTATGTTTTTTGAATGTTCAATAAAATACAAAGATCATCAAATATATTTGAACACCAATAAATAATGAATAAAATAAATACAAGCAACAAATTAAAAATTGTCTTAAGCTCACTTCTCACACCTTTTATTTAATGCTTGTGTATCTGGGGTGAAATGGGAAAATGGGGTGAAAGTCTGTAATAAAAATAAACCTGTTGGTTTGAATGGAAGTGGGTGAAATGAGTTGAATTCACTACCCAAGGGTCACTAAGCCACATCTTCAAATTCAATCAGGTCTGATATCAAAACTGACTCAGTTTCCTTTTTCACTAAAATCCTTAATTCTGTGAAGTACTCTATAAGCAATGCTTGTTTAGCTTAGTTTTGTTGAGTAGATAAAAGTTTGAAGTTCTCTTTAATATTTTTTTTTTACATAAAGAGTATGGATATTGAAGAAAAGTTGATGGAGCAGGTCAGGAATTAAAAACTATGATAATTTATTTAAAATTATTAATGTTAATAAATAATACGCATTTAAATAAATATTATAATAAATTGTCTAATTTAAATTAAATATAATGATAACAAATTTAAATCTATTCTATCAAAAATAATGTGTATACTAAAAAAATAATTAACAGTGTTAACAATACATTAATAATTAAAAATATTATTGCTGGAATATCAATGTTTTAGTGTTGGATTAAACATAATACATTTCCCAATTTTTATTTTTTTACTAGATAAACTATGATGCAAGGCTCATATTTAATGGATTGTTTTATCTAACAGCTCAGCTCACTAGCGGATCCAGGATTTAATTTTGAAGGGGGGAGGACTTCAGCCCGAAAGATTTTTTTTTTCATATATACAACAATAATTAATTTTAAAAAAAGAAGAAAGAAATTAACTACCAACATGAAATGGTGTTTAAATGATTCTCAAAGTCCTATTAATTGTAATTACACGAACAATAATACTTTAAAGTTTTTAATATTTTTTTTTATAAAACATGGTTATATTTTACCGTTTTGGGGGGAGGGGCTTCAATCCGAAAGCCCCCCCCTCGTAGATCCGCCTGTGGCTAAGCTTCCTGATTTTACATAAATAAATACAAACATAAATATCTAATTAAAATAAAATGAAATACTATCTACAAGGAAAAGTGTCTTATAATAGAAAAAAAAGGACTAAAAGATCTCAATTTATTTTCAAAAAAAAATATTCCATAAATCATTTACAAATAAAAATAACAGAAAATTAAAATCACTATTATCATAAATCACATACCCATTCCAACCATGAGATTAGCTAAAAAAAAAAAACACCAAAATAATTTATGACCTAGAAGAAAATATACATATATATATATTAAAAATAGAGCTATTTAACATTGATTTATTTGACAATATTGAATACTATAATTAAATACAAGGCTTTTACCTTATTAACTTGAGTACAAATGAAAGTATATAAATTTATCAAATAATAGATATAGAAAAGAATAGAAAACAAACTTTATTCTGTTTTTCTGGGACTAGATTCCTTAAGATAACAAATATATACAAATAAAAAGAAAATATTACTAGCTAAAAAAATTAATAAGGTTTGTTCCAACATTCTCAACAATACAAATATATACATAAAATAAATTATCTTGAGAGTACAAATAATTTTCTTGTGAACAAAATAAATAAAAAGAAAGAAAAAAAATTAAAACTATGGATTGGTTTCATAATTTAAACTGTTAAGTTTATTTATTTCAAACCGGCACTTTATTCTTAGATTCTTAGATTAGACATTATCTTGGTAGGAAATTATAGAAAACAGTGGAGTGGGCAAGAAAGGAACATACAAAGGTTGTAGTTCTGTGGGTATGAATATAGAGGTCTGAAATACTAAATCTTTTTTTTTTTTTTTTTTTTGTAGTTTCTTCTTAGAGTAGAATCTTTTTTGTTTGTAGTATCTTTTTAGAGTGGATCATGAGTTTGAATTGTAGAAGACTATAGATATAAGGGTCAGTTCTGCGCATGCGCTAGTATCTTTCAACCCACCTGCTACATCGTCTCTCACAATTATCATAATTACCAGTGAATTAGTGAACAGTTGTGTTAAAAAATAGTGCCATTGAACAATTATATAGTACATTCTTGAATAGAACCATAAACATGGTGATTAACCGCTTGTTTATTAAGTTTGAACAATAGTGTAAACAACCATAGAATTAGATAGAGTGGCCATTTCTTATCTATAGTCCCCCCACTTAGGGCCAGGTAGGCTCAGTGCCTGTCGAGCTGTTAAGTAAGCTAGGTCATATCGCTTGTCCCTCTATCAGTCTGCTTAATTTTTACGTATTATTAAAAAAAAAAATTTATTTTTTTTCTTCTTCTTTTTTCTTTTTCCCAATAGTCGTTGACATGATATGCGATATTATCATATGATAATGTCTAGCAAGAATAAAAGATCAAGAAGCTTAGGCAATAATAGCTCTCGTAATTCACCAGTAAAACAAAAGCCTAGGTGTTCAAACAGAAAAACACCACCATCTACACCCGATAGACCAAATGATGCGGTGAACGACCCTCAAGCTGGTACATCAACAGAAATTATGACCACCCAAACAAACAATGAAATTGAAGAATCACATTTTTTTACTGTTAACCCTTACCAACTACTATCTAATACCGTAGAAGAAACAATGGAAATACCATCAACCCCCAGAGAGCCAAAAACACCTCCAATATTCATAAGAAACATAAAAAATTTTCTGCTATTTTACCAGCATTTAAATAAATTACTAAACAATGGTAAATACACATGTCAAAGTAGAACCAATGACACCAAGTTGATGGCAGATTCTCCTGAATCGTATAGAAAAATAGTAAAATACTTGACAGATACAAAGGCGGAATTCCGTACTTATCAATTATTTCAAGAGAGAGCACTAAGAGTGGTGATAAGAGGCCTCCATCCAACAACTCCACCTGAGGCAATCAAAGAAGAATTGACAGAACTTGGTTTCAGTGTCCGCCAAATTGTCAATGTATATAGAGATAATAAAGAGCAACAAAGTGCAAACAACAAAATAGCCTTACCACTATTTTTCGTAGACCTTGAGCGCACCAGTGGAGTCGAAAACATCTATAAATTAAGACGCCTGTACTATACTAGCATAGTTGTCGAAAAACCGTATGCAAAACGGGAAATAGTACAATGTCATAATTGCCAATCATATGGCCATACTAAAAGCTATTGCCACCGCTTACCGCGATGCGTGAAGTGCGGGCAGCAACATAAGTCGGAAGATTGCAATAAGTCCAGGCAAACTCCTGCTGTGTGCGCATTATGCCATAAAGATCACCCAGCAAATTACAAAGGATGCCAGACATATAAAATCTTAAAATCAAGATTACAGACAGCGCCTAGACATGAAGAGATTTCCAGGACTCCCAGACCACCAAGGCAACCCTCAAGATTTGCAAACAAAGAGGTCTCCTATGCTCAAATGTTAGGAGAATTAAAACAGCATACTCAACCTTAGGTCCTGCCGCAAACTCAACCACTATCTCATGGTTCACCACCCGAACATAATAACACCCAAAAGTTCAGTCCTCAACAAATATCCTACATTCCTCCCCCTAACAATTCCAATGACCTTACCAGCCTCCTTACATCATTCCTCTCCGAAATCAAATCCCTCATCACACCGCTCATTACCTTACTTACAAATGTCATAGCCAATCTTATCCCTTCGCCAAGAATTCCTTAAATGTCCTCAATAAAACCCCTCTCCATTCTCCTTTGGAATGCGAATGGTGTTCGAAATCACATCAACGAACTAACCTTTTTTCTACAGGACAATAACATAGACATAGGCCTAATAATTGAGACCTGACTAACAAACAAAAGACAGTTCAACATACCTGGCTACAAGATATATCGAACTGACCACCCTGATGGAACAGCACATGCTGGCACTGCTGTCATTATCCATCAGTCCCTCTCCCATCACTTGTATCCTTTACCAGTTCACAATTTCCTACAAACCTCAGCAATAACTATCCAAACTTCACTTTTTCCTCTTACAGTTGTCGCAGCATACTCTCCACCTAAAATAGCAATACCTGAACCTAACTTCATTTCCTTTCTTAATTCCCTAGGACACCACTTCCTTATAGGTGCAGACCTTAACGCCAAACATCAGCAATGGGGAGCCAGAACCACGAATTCCCGCGGGCGATCGTTGCTGTCTGCACTTAATTCCAACATACTTCCCCCTGATACTCCTACATACTGGCCAACCGATCCTAACCGTAATCCTGATATCCTCGACTTCTTCATTCACAAAGGTCTCAGGCCGCTAAATTACTCAGTTCTACGGCTCGATGACCTTTCCTCAGATCACAGTCCGCTAAATCTAACCCTTTCCGCATCGTTATCTCCTCCCTCATTCATCAGAGGCCCAGTCAACTGGAACCTTTTCCGCCAAACAATAACAGATGCAATAGACCTCAGAGTATCCCTAAAAACCCCTCAAGACCTAGATAATGCAGTGAGTTCCTTTACCACCTTGATCCAACAAGCAGTCTGGACTGCATCCTCACCAATCCCCTCCAAAAAATACCTTAAAAAGATTCCTCTGCCTCAAATCCTTACCGACCTCATTAAATCCAA